AGGAGTAGCGAGTTGCTTAATTTTTTTAAACTGACTTAATGGAAGTGGATTCTGTAAAAATTAGGCTATTTGTAATATTTCCGAAACGTCGACACACGCTGAAAGTGGATTTTGTTCATTTTTCGTTAAGCAACAGGCGGTTTACGACAGTCTTAGAAATCCAAACTGCACCTATACCTACAAAAAGACAGAAAGAAAAACCTCTGTATCCAGTGCATTCTGAAGTTCATTATTAAGCCCCTTCAAGAAAGGGAATTAAAATTCTTTGTAAATCCAAACAACAAGAAGGCGGCAGTGGACAAATATGAACGTACAAAGTGTGTTAATTTAGTGTTTGCCGGCCATGCTTACAGAAGAAATGCTACAACTGGAAGAAACAAAGAAGCGTTAGATATGTTAGCGTGTTAATCATGCAGACATACTGGTAATTTGTACAGTTCATATGTGGAAACTGCCATAAAATAACTTTATACAAAACTCTGACGTTACTTTAATATTTAATACACGTAACATCATTGTCATTGCTGTCAGAATGTGGATACAACCCACGGCATAATGAAGGAAAAAATGTCGTGTGGAGTGCCATTTCGTCCACCACGAATCTTACTCTAAGTCGCCCAGGATTAAATCACTTCCTCCGCGGTGACAAGCCGGCATCAAACTGCCTGATCTATGGCACGGCTATCGGTCCTGTGTAGAACGGAGTAAACGAACTCCTTTTAAGTTTATTATAGTTAAACATTCAAATGCATATACGAGTAAATGCTTTCATGACAGACCTCGTTTTTGAACAAATATAAAGGCAGAACTAGGCCCACTATCCTTCGCAATAACATTCCACACAATGTGCTGGAGGCAGGAACCTGATAGCAGGGTACAAAATAGTGAATCTACGAACTCATACAAGAGTTGTTCTTATCACTTTACAACAAGTTCTCCATGCCAGAATAAGTGAAGAATAATTATGCATTTCGTGTCTTAGCAATATGCAATTCAAGCCAAAAATTATAGTGATCACTTCGTTATAGTTCCTAACAACCAAAGTCGCAAAAGTCCAAGGAACTACTTTCTGCTCAAGCAGCAAGCTAAAGTAAGGTAGTTTCTAGACGTTTCTGACGACATTCAATTTGCATGGATTGATATGAAATCACAAATACTTGCAAGTCGTCTAATTAACACAACTTACAACATGGATGCTGTTCCTACCACACAAATTATATATGCGATCTGAAACGGCGACAGCAGCAGGCAAATTCACACATCTTCACCGCACTATGAACAACGTCTCTCTGCTATCACTACGCGTTGCAGCGTAAGAAAATCGGATTCACCCGTAAGATGGCACTGTGACCAATTACAATACACCTGTGTCCAGTAGCGGATCGCAAAAATCCTTTACGCGTGGCGTTCAAAGATCAAAGTTAACGTAACACACACAGGCGTCCTTAAATATCGGGAGTAGGCCCACTCTTTGGATTTTAAAATCCAATAAACACAGAATATTGTAATATAAATCATAATTATTGCTAGGTTATATTTGGTCTCATTTTGAGTTAAGAACAAAGGAAGACCTCTGCGAAAACAAAGTGATGAGGAAAATGTTTAGTCTTAAAAATGGAGATAGATAATGGAGACAACAGCATAACTTTGTGTTTAGGAGGTTACAGGTTTGAATGTTTGCCGAAGAACGGGAGTCTCTGCAGTCAAATGCCGAGATAGTGCTTTCAAGTATACCACAACCACTTTCCCATCCTTTCCAATTCATTGTTCACTATTATTAATATTATTCTAAGCTGTATAATCTTATAAATCAATCAATAAACAAGAACAGAATGGCACAATTAAAGGCTAATATCAGTCACATTGATGCGGTGTGTTTTCTTGGAGACGGAAATTAAAAAATTAAACATTGTTTACGCAACTTTCTGTCCCACATAAGGTCAAATAGGCCAGTAAAGTTCTGCACCTGCTCTGGCCTCCATTTCTCTGAGTTCCGGTCACATACAGCCCTTGCTCCCTTCTTAAGGATCACCAACTGATGCTTAGTAAGATCAATATAATAAGCCTCTTCCAGCTACATAAATTATGTAACATCGAATGGCAGTAGGATTGTTACCAGTAAATTGGAAAACGCGGACGTTATAGTGGCTGGAAGACAGCTATCTTCAGACTCACCGTGAAAACCTCAAATCCTTATAGTGGCCTATTTTAAAGTAATATTTCAGCTTTTTCCAAGGAAAGGATTTTATTTTTTTTATTGTCCTTCTGGAGTTACGCACTGTAAATCGCGGTCAAACGAACAAACCGCCACTGCAGCTGGACCTAGTGACGAACCCGGTGTACATATGCGAGAACTATGTATCCTTCCGTTGTTGCTATGCTTGTAGAAGGAACCTTCAAATCCGTGTTTGTAATGGCATTTGAATAGTTACTAATAACCAGAGTGTTTTTATTAGCTGTTGTTGCTCCCCTGAACTCTGCCCTATCGGAACTTAATGCCAGAGAACATACTGTAACTGAAAACCAAGCAGGAGACAGCTGGGGGTAGATAAGACTGTACCTTGCTGCATTAGTAGCGTGGGAACGTGCATCCAACAACACTTAGATTGTAAACAGGCACCGCCCGCCCACAGTGGAGTGGGGCATCGCACTAGTTCAAGCCAAAGATATACTGTATGACCAGTATTTCGCCCTTTATAAAGAACTACTTCCAAGTAACTGCTCTGTATCGATATATACGAATTCCGAGCAGTGGCATGAAAAAGTTTGACAATTTTTTTTAATTTTGCATCTTTCTTTTATATCCCTTGATTCTCGCTTCATCTTGCCCCACTTTATGCGCGGTTTCCTTAACATTTCCCATTTGATGTCATATAGTCTGTCTACGAATCGTTATTATATAACGTAAAAATAAATGTAAAAGAAGTAGGGTTTGAGGTTCTCACGACAATGGGTACGGAGATCTGTCTTCAAGGTTGTAGTGCCTTGTACTCTGGTGGAAATGTACCGTTTCAGATGTCCTTGCTGCATTACCCTGATGGTGGAGGTAGCAAGCACCTCTGAAACGTTGGTATACTTCTACCAGACTACACAGAGTTACAAACCAGAAGATCCAAATCAGAGGAAAACTACGTTGAACATGTAAGTATAGATGTTTCCACTGTCTGTCAAACACTCTGGTCAGGCAACAGTATGAACTTTTAACCAGGAAACAATGTCACTGGAAGGGTTACAAGATACTAGCATTGCATTTGCCTAGCGATCTTGTATAAAACCGGGCTACAGACCGACCCGTCCAAAATTTGAACCACCATGCCTAATCTTCTCGTAACCATAAAATACAAAATTATATGGTTTCGTGTGGGCATAAAACTTAGACTCTCACCTTGAAGGAAGAATGCAGACTTTAGGAATTTGAGAAGAGAATACCAAACGTCGAGTGGTTAACACTCCTGCTTCGTATTCGGAAGGTCCCGGGTTCAAATCTCGGCCCGGAGACCGGCTAACCTGACCGGAGTTTTTGAGGCAAATGCCTGAAATTACACCACAACCGCTTCCTTCAGTATTCACTATCATCCTCTCATTCGGCACTATATAATCTGAGTTAATGAAAGAGAGTAGTTAAAATAAACTACAAAT